TTATTTTTATATTTTTATATTTATTTTTATATTTATAAAAGTAATAATTTTAATATTTTGTTAGTTTTTTTTTCTTTTGGTTTTTATTACCGCCTTTTCCAAAAAAATGCAATAAAGGTTTGTTTTATACTTACAGTCAAGTCTGTATATATGTATACATATACATACAGACATGTGTATACTTTCTAATATACTTTCTATTTAAATAGTTAGAAATTAATCATAAAATTGTAGATTGTAAGGATATTAAACATTCGTAGATGTTTTTAATTCGAAACATTTTTTTCGCAACACGATATTCAAGAATATAATCAACACGAGGTTGAAGTACGATCGTGCGACGTAAAAGACGAACGATATAAATAAATACATAAAAAGGAACTTAAACACGAAAGTCTGCGATAAGATTGTGCGTTTCTATGAGTTGCCGCGGAAATAGATTTCGCGTTTTGAAAAATTACTTCTTCGTAATTGCTTTCGAGGCATTAGCGTCATTATTACTTAGTATTAATAGCGACGGTAATTCTGAGACATTCCGTATATTGGCGCATACGGTAATCATCAAAGACGCAGTGACATATGTATTATCGTTCGTATGTGTCCATGCTGATTTAGTACTCATACGTGTGTACCTGCATAAAAGATATGCGGGCTCAGCAAGGTCGAGGGGCTTTTGTACTTTGCTCCATTAATTGCTTTTACATAAAGTCCATTTTAGACTGTGTCAAAATCAAAACATAACATCGTTTTCCAAACTATATATAATATTTTATCATACTATTACTTAAAGAAAAAGATATAACAATGGCGAAAGTGTAATTATTGTAATTATAAAATACATATTAAATTATTCAACACCATATATGTGTGTGTGTGTGTGTGTGTGTGTGTGTGTGTGTGTGTATATATATATATATTTTTTTAATTCTACAGTGTACTATAGTACTTATACAGTTGTCACCTATATTATACATTTATTATAGTTGCTATCACTATGTTTTTCTCTGAGTGTAGTCCTGCGAGATGAATCGAAGAATTCAATGTGATAATGAGAAATTTCTATCTCCTTCGAAATCTAGAGAACATTTATACGCTGAGAAAAAAATACATTAAATTTTAATAAATAATTTTTTGAATAGAGTACTAATACAACATTTATTTACGGAAAATAAATATTTGTTAAATAAAATATAATAATAGGTAAATTAAATTAATAGTTCTTGTACCAAATAAATATATTTGGTACTAAATGTATTTGGTTTACATTTAGTAAATATTCAATTGGCACTATTCGAATAAATATTTATTAAAATTTAGTACACTTTTCTCTCAGTGTATGTAAAATTGAAATTAGGAGAATTATGTATTGATAAATTTGTGAGAAGTACAAGATCACTTTGAGAGAGAGAGAGAGAGAGAGAGAAAATTGTTTATGGTTGCATTAGAATTTTAAATTTATTTGGGAATTAAAATAGAATATATATTTAAAAAATTTTTCTACAATAATAATGTAAAATGCGAAATTAAATGTTGATTATTGCACTAAACTATTAAATTTGGAGATGATAAAATCGGATATAAATTTTCTTCAATTTTTCTACAATAATAATGTAGAATGCGAAAATACATGTTGATCAATGTTTGAGAAATGAAATTAGTTTAAGAATTATATATTGATGATCGTTACGGTGAACCCTTCACACAATTTGTTTGAAAGTATCAAAATCAGATATAAATTTTCTTATTTTTATCTATAATAATAATATAGGCTGCGAAATTTCGCGACGTAATTAGCAAACTTTCAATTTGTTTGAAAGTGTTAAAATCAGATATAAATTTTCTTATTTTTATCTATAATAATAATATAGGCTGCGAAATTTCGCGATGTAATTAGCAAACTTTGAGAATCGCTGTAATCTTAAGATATTGTTTCGCAATATTTTCTCACTCGTGGTCTCACTTATTCGGCTTCGCGATTTCTTTTCTCATTATTAACTAGAGAAAAAGAAGTCTGAATAGTCTAAGATTTACGATTTACGATTCTCTATTGTTCCGTTTTTTTACATGCGAGATTCTGACAGATCCTGAACTACGACAGTCAGCCGTAGAACTCGTCCGCGATTATTATTCCAGGTTGTCAGATGCGCTCTTAGCTGCCCCTTCCGATATGCAATCGTTGCACAGCTGGCGGAAGTACACTGGTCTCGTCGCAGGCGCTTCTCGGCGTTAATGCCGCTAATCGCGATACATTATCGATGTACAAGGAAACACATGGGTCAAGTTCGAGGTGCAAAGTGCTCGTGATCTTGACCGCGCGCTGTCGATCGTCCCCGATTTTGCATGTCTCGATTGAGACTAAAAGAATTAATTAAGCTCGGATCACACTATACACATTGAAGATTGTGAATTGGAGATTAGAATTTGACTAGTCATATAATTTTGTCTATAATCCGTTTCGTTCTGATAAGCTGAATTAATTTTAATTTCAATTTATTTCATTCTCATTGGCTGAATTCTAATTTTCAATTCGCAATCCTCAATCTCTAAATGCATAGTACTTGACATGGGCTTTAGCCCGGTCCCCCGAGTGTTTTAACAACATGTATTTCAATAAACAGCGGAAAAGCGATGAACATGTGGCGATAACAAGACAAACGTGTCTCATTATGTAATCGCCAGGATTTTTATTTGTACCGAATCGTATATGTTTAACCTTCGATGATGACTGGATCTAATTATTGATTATAGATATTCGTCAGTTTTCGAATATTACTCGCGCATATATCTCTTTTACGTTATAAAGATGTAAAAAATTAAATTTGAAAGCTACTTTTTATTGTTGTTTTATGTACTAGATTTATTATTATTTGGGGAGCGCGATTGTTTAATTATTTAATAGAGTACGGATCAAGAACCGTAACCCGTACTCAAGCTACAATCCTCTCCAAAAGGTTTATCGTTCATTTTTTTTTTTTTTTCAAAAATTTGTATATTGGAAATCTAAGGGTAGTATTAAGGATATATTGTATTTTGAGACACATTAATTATATTTTTAATAATAACGAAATTTTTTATGTTGTTCAGTTATTTCAATTGAAAAGTAACATAACTGAGCAGCCAACATTAAGAATCTCGTTATTTTGTTAAAAATATAAGTGTGTCCCAAGGCACACAATATATGTCCCTTATAGGGGTGTTCCACATTCTCCCCTACTGATATTTTTTATTTCTGAATGTTAATTTTGTACTATTACGTTTTAGTACTTAAAGAGATGCTGGAATGATGAAATTATTAATACATTACAGTTGTACAAAAATTTCCGAAATGACTGAACGGAATCAAAATCCTTTTGCAGAATTGAAATAGACGTAAAATTAGAAAGTGTAGGGCAGTGGACTTTATACTAAAATCGGAAAAAAAGTTAAAAACTTACATTTTTCAACTCGTAGAGTTGTCGTCTGACGTAGACGTTTCCTTAATACAAACGTTCCATGCTCGTTATTGACAAAATAACACTACTCGTTGAATTACGTGAATTATGAACAATACTGAATTTATAGAACTATAATGTAAGATTGGAAATTTAAAAAAAAGATTTATATTAATTTGCAAATTACGTGTATACTGGTGTATACGTATGCTTAGCGAAGGCTCAGACTGATAAAGAATAGTAATTGTGTGTAACAGTAAGTGCCGAATCTTGCAAGAGATGGCGTTGCAATATGTTAGATAAGGACAAATGTATGCATGTATGTGAGACAGAACGATAAAATGTAAGAAATGAATTAAAGATGTTACTATTATCGCAGCATTTTTAATATGGAATTAAAAAAGTCTGTACTATTGACATCGATCAAGTTTGGCTATTGTTTTAGCATTCCCTTATAAGAGAATTTATAAGGAATGTCAGAGCTGTCAGAGCGCCCAATAAATGACGCTTTCTCTCTCTCTCTCTCTCTCTCTCTCTCTTTCTTTCTTTCTTCCCCTTTCTCCCACTCTCCCGGCTTAATTAAGATCGATCGCAGAAAAATACGGTGGTGATAACAGAAACATGTCGTATGTGAGCGTCGAGATTTTTATCGAATTATGCAAATGGAAATAAAACAGACAAGTCGGAGCTGCGCTTGGAAATAAGAGCGTAAAGCAGGTAAATGTACAAGATGCCATTTCATAAGATGTAGTCTCCTTTGTTTTTACGAATCTTATCTCGCTCACGAATGTTAGGACAGATGAGAGTAAATGCAACCGCGTAAAGATTGTACGTGCAAGATTGTGTGTAGGTACAATTCGCGCGTTTCGTTTTTTTTTTTTACAATACACATATATTTTTCATAACATTTACTTTCGCAGGACGAATGTTTCGATTTTGAGCGCGAATAAACACCCAGGGAAACGTGCCGTTTGTATCTGTATTCGTATTTTTTTGTTCTGCTTCGTACTTTGCAGCTCGCTTTGATAAGTACGGAAGCGAAACCGCGCTTGCCCCGTTTGTCCCGATATTATAGATAAAATTAAGTTACATCTTTCTTCGCGCACAGAATATAAAAACGAATACAGCCTTGTGTATCGTATTGTCATTATGTATAAATTCAATGATACGGTTTGCGCTTTTTGTTATCTGAGCAAAATAATAGAGTCAGGATAACGTAATTTTGTTAAAATAATGATGTTAAAATAAATCATGATTGATCGAAAAATGACTGAATAATTATTTTGGTGCCATTTTGTGGCACGCATTTTGATATAATCATGACGTCAAAATGGATGCCAGGCATCTTTACGTTCCGCCTGAGTACCATTGTGTCATAATTTTGATACGCAACGGTGCAACATTCTCCGCGTCTACATTGATACGTAACGATGATATGCGCGGGTACGCAGTAAGTTTGTATTCGCCTTAATTGATACGTTGCGTTGTTGCGTTGTGCCTTGCATAGCAACAGCTCGCCAAGTTTTTGTGGGCCTCGCTCTTCACGGCTCGGGTACGCTTTTCTTGCAGGTGCTGGGCAGGCAGCAATACATCGTGCGACCGATGGTAATGGAAGAGAATTGCACGCCCGGGACTGGCAGCGACAACCCAGCGATTGCCGGAAGTAGCGGGATCATTAGCGAGGCCGCGCTGGTACACGCACCAGCCTTGACCGAACGAAACCTCCGGGAGTACGGAATTCCTCTGCAGCAAGCTATCGAAAAGGTGTGTTTCACATCGACGACCGTAGTGGAAGAAGGCTTTGGATTTCAGATACTTATTGAGAATTTTATTAAAAAATCACATTTGTAATATAATAATATTGTCTATTAAAAATGCACCATAAATAGACATATCGATTAACATTGAAAGTCAATAGGAGAGACACACTTTTAGGATAAAAGCCTTCAGGGGATGCTGGAGTGACCAAATTATCACATTACAGTCGCATAAAAATCTTCGAGTTGACTGAACGGAATAAAAAATCCTTTTATAGGATATATATATATATATATATTAAAGTAGACGCAAAATTAGGAGGTGGTGCAGTGGACCTTGTACTAAAATCGAAAGAATGTTAAAAAATTTTTTTAATTTTTTTTTCGATTAACTTTCGTGATAACTTAGTCATTCCAGCATCCCCTTAAACGGTCAAGCTTGATCTTAAGTACTTATGATTCGATGTGAATTTATATACTATCTATGTAGTTATTTAATTTATCCCCCCCCCCCGAATTGATTTTTCGGTCTTGAAACGCAAACCTGATTGAACTACAGTAATAATAATTACAAATTAAATTGATTATAGCAATTTAATAATTTGATGTTCAACATAGGCATCTTAGGAAGATTTTAATGATGCCGAATAACATATTAAAATCTGTAAATAATTTTATCGCGAAAAATATTACCTCGAGGATCGAACCTCCACATAGAAAAATATCAATCTACTGCTAAGAAAAGTAATTACTCAATTAATTTTCTTTCTTTTAAGTGACGATTATCTTTAACACAGAATATTTTCTCGATAATAATCTTAAAATATACTTATTACAAAAATTTTAGAAAAACTCTATTATGTAGGTACTCAAAACAAAAACTTATTTTTTTTTTTTAAGAATATTATAAAATTGATCGAAGAAATAAATTCTCCTTTCATAATAAATCGAATTTGTTTTAATTTAATAAACTTGATTGAAGTATATTAAACTTACTAAAATTCAGAATATATTTCGAATAAATTTAATGCTTCTGATGAACTTATGATAGATTTGCGGATATATGAATTTTTAAAAAATACTTGAAATAAGTTTTATTATTACTTGCATAGAGTAACTATTACTTATGTATTTTTCTGTGTGTGGATTTCTTGCATTGTGTGCGAGTGTCCTCACCTCATTACTTACAGATTTTAATATGTTATTCAGCATTATTAAAATCTTTCTAACAATAAGATGCCTATGAGCATCAAATTATATTAAATTGCTAGCCAATTTAATTTATGATATTACTATTGCAGTTCAGTCAGGTTTACGTTTCAAGAACGAGAAATCAATTTGGCGCGGAATTTAAATGACTACGTAGGTAGGATATAAATTCACATCGAATCATTTAAGGCAATTTAAGCACTTAAGATCCAGCTTGACCGTTAAAGGCCTTAACCACATGACCTTAACCACACGTCCTTTTTTTCGTGAACATAATCGGGACATGAAATGGGCATAACATGGATGTCCTTTTTCGAATGCCAACGTGTTGTGTGGGATATTCTTAAAATGTGTATTCACATTGACGATCTTAAGAAATATATATATGCTTCGTTTAATATCAATAGGAGAGAAGTTTATTCATTATCTCTTTTACTCTTTTATCTATTGAGACATAAAGATATCTATGCATTTTTTGAATTTCTTCAATTAAAAGATAATCTCTCGAGAATTAGGAATATACACTCGTTAACAAAATTATCGCATACATAATTTTATATAAAAATTTCGCATAAATTCGAATAAGCGTAACTCCGTGAAAAATGTCGCATTTAAAAGTTTTTTTTTTAAAGATAAAGTCTGTATTTTACGAAGCTTTCAATGAATTTTGAATCTATTCTTACACCTACCTGGCATCTTTTCAAAAATGAGGACGTGTTTTTTTTTTTAAGAAATTTGCATAGTTTGACGCACTCTAAGGGGAGTAAATTTTTTTCGTAAATGTCATGATAACCATCGTAAAGTGTGGACTTTTCTCTTACAAATTAAAAAAAATTAAGCTTTGTACGATTTTTTTTCGAGAAGTGTATCAAACAGTGTATTAAACTTACAGTGTATCAAACTTACCTATGCATTTTATTCAATTACCGCCGCAGCATTACCCGATGCGCACCACGGAGAGGTTGTTAATCCGATTTTTTGCGTGCGTGCATGCGTGCGTGCGTGCATGCGTGCGTGTATGTGGAGGGGGGAGTGGAGGCATGTGGAGGCATGCTTTTCAAAATTTTAGGGGGGCTTTGCTCTTCAAAAATGTATATTTCCGCCTCGCATATTGATGCAAGCTCTAATTAAAGCCTGAGGAATTTCCCTATACATGCTACTACGTTCACCAATGAGCGCGGATTTGAATCCCATTGAATATGTATAGGATATGATGGGAAGAAGACTACGAAGATTAGAGGAACAGCCAACAAATCTGCAGCAACTGGAAGCGGCATTGCATCGAATATGATGGGAAATTCCTCAGGCTCAATTAGAGCTTGCATCGATATGCGTACACGTTTACAAGAGGTCATCCGAAGACGAAGTCATCCACATACCTCCACACCCACATACACACACACACACACACACACACACACACACACACACACACACACACAATTCGCAAAATCCGACCAGCATCCTCCCCGTGGTGCGCATCGGGTAATGCTAATGCTGGCGGTAATTGAATAAAATGCATAGGTAAGTTTGATACACTGTATTTCCTCGAAAAAAAATCGTACAAAGTTTAATTTTTTCTTAATTTGTAAAAGTAAAGTCCATACTTTACGATGATTATCATGATGTTTATGAAAAAAATTTATTCCACTCCGTAGAGTGCGTCAACTATATAAATTTCTTAAAAAAGGAACACGTCCTTATTTTTGAAAAGATGTAAGATAGGGATAAAAATAGAGTCAAAATTCATTGAAAGTTTCGTAAAGTACAGACGTTACCTTTGAAAATGAATAAAAAAAAAAAATACTTTTAAATACGACCGTTTTTCGCGAAATTACGCTTATTTGAATTTATACGAAATTCTGAAATAAATTTACCTGTGCGATAATTTTGTTAACGGGTGTAGTATATGTAGGTATATGTGTGCGCGTGCGTGTGTTAATTTTTCGCATGTATCCTTTTTGATATCATCAAAAAATTAATATAATAATGATAGAAAATAATGTAACGCATATATCAATGTCTTATTTTTGTTTCAAGTTTGAGACTTGGTGGAGCTCGATGTCTAGCGTAACTTCCGGTCTCAAGCCGCGATTTGTTGTGGACGGTCAGGCTTCGATGAGGCAATGCCTGCATCCGGAGGCTTGCAATAAGGACATCGAGCTACCGGAACATTACAACTACTTTCATGATCTCCGAAAGGACTTTGTAGAATGCTATTCATCTCACGGGGAGCTATCGACTCTCGGAGTACAAGAAATGTTGCAATGTATCCTTTCACGCTTATGTAAAAACTATCATCAGTCGCCAAGCTGACCTCGTTGCGTACGTTTCTTATTTCGTATCTTTTTATTTACGCACACATAAACATTTTACAAAATATTTTTAGTCTCTCTTTCTTTTCGTTTTCGATGTAACGTGTTATCTTTGACATCAGTGCCACTGCATACGACCAATTAACCCAATAGCATTTGTTCAAATATGTATATATAACAAAGATATTTCATCAAAATTTTTTAAATATGTATATAAATTTTCTCTTTGATTTCAAAGGATATATCAAGTGCAGAAATTGTGGGATAGTTTATTGACAGTTTTAGTTGCTACGATTTCCTTTGTAGAAACGTAATACTGGATTATAGTAATTAACTACTTATTTTGAATGTCAATTAAGCGTTTAGTGTTTTTAATACTCAAAATAAGTAATTAATTACTACTTTTTAGTATTAAATTGACTTTAATATTAAATTGGCCAATATTGGATTTTTGTAAGGGTTCTTCAATCCCCATTGCTTTTTTCGGAGAATAATATAATTGCTCCTGAAAAATATTTTTTATTTCCTATCGCTTTTCAATTAAATCTTCTGTTTTCATTTCGGGAAGATCGGCTATATAAAATGGCCGAATAAAATCCTACCTGGGAGGATCTGTATTTTTAAGTGTGCTACGCTAGTTAAGAAATCTCGCACGGTATTGTATGCTAATGCCAGTGCACACACGTCCTCACCGATGGTGTATCGGTAACGGTGCTTGCCGCGGAATGGTATTGCAGTCTCGTGTTCGAACTTGAGCCGCGCAACACCGACATGGTCATGTCTCAACGAAGAAATTCACCCACGTGTAGTCCATGCCGTTTGCGGGTTTCCATGTCGGAGTCCTACGCGACGCGTGGCCGTCAGGCGGCGGGCGCGACGGAAGTCAACCCGAGACACTTGACGCGCTAAGGCACTAAATATGTAGGTATTCTCATCGGCCATCTTGATTCCACTTGATTGATAGGTTATAGTACGATTAGTGATAAAGGTAAATATTAAGAAGAGCCCAAATTTTGATAAAAATACATTGAATCGATGCGTTTTCGCGTAAAAATAAAGATTTGACAAGAAAAAAGTGTCTCTCTGCTCTGCGAACCGAGATATTAATCCTTAAAGTCGATAACTATTCGGGTTAGAAAATCTGTCATAACAGTGGTTCACTGTGCTTTAAAAACATAAATTCTCTGTTAAAGTAGTGAATTTGTATTTTAAAAGCAGTGAATTTGTGTTTTTAACGCAGTGAACCACTGCTGTGACAGATTTCCTAATCCGAATAGTCGTCCACTTTAAGGATTAATATCTCGGTTTGCGGAGCAGAGCGACACTTTTTTCTTGTCAAATCTTTATTTTTACTCGAAAACGCATCGATTCAGTGTATTTTTATCAAAATTTGAGGTGAGCGGGCTCTTCTTAATTAACATTTACCTTTGTCACATAATCGTATTATAACAATTATCAAGTAGAACCAAAATGGCGGATAGAGAGGAATACCTACATATCTAGTGCCTCAGACGCGCTCGATGCTTCCCGACGACAAGATAACACCGGTCGTGTCCGGTGTTGTTAGACGGGCCGGGTTTTTGGCGCATGCGTCTCGAATAATGTATCTTCACTAACGTATTCGTTACTAATAAACAAGAGTTCACTAGTCGCCCATGCGTTAAAAAGTTTTTGAAAATTGTAATGTATTTTTTATATTTTACATATACTATATACTATATTTGTACATTTAAGTCGGCCTAATGCAAAATCTTGTACAACTTTAGGATCTATACAAATATCCTTCAACGGCGGAATTAAGTGATCTGCGATGTAAAATGCAATATTGTGTCCAACATAAAATGTTGCTAATTTAATTTCGGCTCGTTCGAGTTTATCTTTATGTGATAAATTCTATTAATTTATTATCGTTATCAATCAGGTCAATCGATTTTTTATATTTTCAATATGTTTGACTATTTGTGAGTGCTGAATCAAAACTGATTCAGCACATCTGATGAGTTCCTTGCCTACAGTACATAATGGTTTATTTTTTTTTATGGTAAAGAGCCAACCGTCCCTTAAAAATATTCTCGTCTATCCACGAAGATTGGAATTCCCTAATCTTGCGTTTCTTAATTGTTCCTTTTCGGTGCCAATTTCTCCTACATTGGCTACGCCATTGTGTTCGCTGCCTCACTGTCGCACATGCGCCAAAAACCCGGCCCGTCTAACAACATTGGTCGTGTCTCAAGCTCAACTCTCAGGTCTCAACCGACGCGACGTCAGTAGTAGTTACCAGTCACAGTCAGTAGCAAGTAGTCTCTATGATCGTACGGAGTACGAGCGCATGTGTCGCGTCGCCGCTGCCATCAGCTGCCATCAGCTGCCATCAGCTGCCATCAGCTGCCATTCGCGTGAATCTCGAGCGTGATTGTGACGAATTCTCTGGCTGATTTCGTTCGATCTCGCGAATTTTCTGAATTGTCGTAAATTAGACTAGAAAAAGTCAAGCGAAGGGAGAGAAAATTGATCGCAGCATAGTCCTTCAGAGTCCTTCACGAGACTCTTCTTGGGCTCAAGGAGGGCATACGCATAAACTAACTGTTCGGAATTAAAGTCGAGGTAAAGGTACGTTTTCGTTCTGTATTTGGCTTGATGTGGAGGATAGTTGAAACATCTGGACGTTAATTGTAGTCGGAGAGTCGTTTGAAAAATAAGATTCCATTATCTGTCGACCGCACTTTAAATTTGCTACGGGGAACTTTCTTAACCCTATAAATATCTACGTAATTAAATTAATCCATCATTTTTATTTATTTTTAAAAGTAACGTGCGTGTGATAAGATATTGTTCTCTCGCATTTTGTTAGGGGACGAAATTTATTTCAAGACTTGCAATCTAATAGAGCAACGCGATTTCCTTCTCGATTCATCTCGCTTTTACGATAACTCTAATATTGCGCGGTTGAAGAATATTGCGTAAAGTTAAAATGTCTCGTGTGAAATTTCTATTAATTTTTTTTCATACCTGTTGAATATATCGCTCATTTGTTATAACAACGACATAACTCAAAATTTGTCATTTGCCAGTTGCTTGCAAAAAAACAGAACGAAAACAAAAAAAAAAAGAAAAAAATATACTCTTATTCCTCTACAATCAATTATTACACTAAAATTGCATTTCAAAATTAATATTACAAAATTTAACGATTCAAAACAATTAAATTCTGGAAAACTTTATTTTTTTGAGTCGTGTTGTAGTTATAGCAAATGATATGACAGTAAACGCTACATTGCTAATTTGTGCTCATTTATTTAGCACTTCATATACGAATTCTTTGTTGTAACTTTAATGGAAATTCGAATCTCGAAGTTGATATTTCCTGCACTAACAATAAGAAGCCAGAAGTAACAGATTTCCGAAACGAAACGTGTCCGTCTCAAATCCAATTTCGATTCGGATGAGCTACATATACCAGGTCTCCTTTTATATCCAGCATGCCATATCTACCTGGCACTAATAAAACAAGAACACCTGCGCCGTCTGAGACATATGTGTACGAATATGCACGTATGAATATCGATCGATTCACCGTTCATCTGTTCAATGCGAGCCGCGTTCGAGATTAGCCGGACTTTGGTTTTCTACATTCTGCTTACACACGCACTCCGAACATACATGCACGTATTGCGTATCCACATCGCAGATGCGACGTGGTTTGCAAATTCAGGGAATTTGTCATGGAGTCTTTTGTATCCATCAATATTATATCAATATAAACATCAAAATATAAATATTATTTAAACATTAATTTAAAATTCTTCTAAAAATCTATCCCCTTGACAGTCATGAATTTGTAATATTATCAGGTACATTTTTGTTGTCTCTGTCAAACTGATGTTATAATTTAACGAAATTGTTGACGTTTTTTCTACTACTTTTACCTCAGTTAGAATTTCGAAAGTGTCACTTAAAGGGAAGTTTCACAACTGTCCGGAACCGATTTGATTCTCCATGAAATATGTTGTTAAACACGAAAATCTAAGAGACACGTATCTGTTTATACTTGCGGTAACTCATGTTTAAGGGGTGAAACATATTTCATGGAGAATCAAATCGGTTCCGGACAGTTGTGAAACTTCCCTTGTTAGCATGTTCCCGAGTGACGCTGATAAGGACAACTATATTATTAAGCGAACATGTAATATTCATTGATATTTTTCTCGTGTTCACAGTTTAAGGCCTCTATTCACTCACCACTATTATCTCAGATTGTAACGTCAGAAGACGTTCAAAGCAAGAAAACGTACAGTAAAAATTCTTACAAATTTTATTTGAATAGAAATATTTTTCGATAAAACAATATCTGCAGCCAATAGAATTAATAGATAAATAAAATATATCGAAATACTAGCTTCTTGTTTTGAGGAAAAAAACTGTATTTATCTCTATATTATTAATTTTGTCGTAGCTGTAAACATAGCGCTTATTTTGTTTTTAGTTATTCATTTCCACAGTATATGATTATTTATTAATTAACGAAACAAAACAAGTTTTCGGTATATTTTATATCTTTCGATTCTATCGATTGTAAGTGTTGTTTTCATTTGTTGAAACATTTTCATATTAATATATAGTTGCAAGAATATTTGTTGTATATTTTCTCGATTTTGACATCACAATCTGAGATAATAATGGTGAGTGAACAAGAGTCTTAATTTTAAAAATAAAAAATGTAAAAGATTACATGATTTCTTAGATGTACCACATCTCACTCGATTTCACTTTCCAATATCGGGTTAGAAGTCTAATCCAATATCTTATCGTCATTTCTAGGCAAAAGTGCGTAGCAGAATTAACATCTTCGTAGTAGAAGAATCAACGATTCATTCAGGAATCTGCACGCGCGAAATACTCTTCCCTCTTTGTCAAAATTGCCGGAATGTAATCTTAATTCCTACGTTTCTCCTTTTGTCGCTCGTCTCAATGACAGGGCACATTTTGGGATCGTTTATATCGCGGTGGAGGAAAAGATTGTGTGCGAGGAAAAAGGAACGTCGCACTTTACGATCAGTAACGACCAGATGACTCGAGAAAGCCTTCGCGAGGCGATGCCGTCTTATCGGGACGCGGTTTAAAGGTCAGTCCTCCGATGAAGATACGGCTAACGGGCCAGTAACGACTGAACGTCACGTGTATATATGTATGTATGTGTATACACACACACACACACATATATATATATATATAATACATATTATTGTGTTTCTTTCCTCATTTCCTCGACGATCCTGGTTTTCAAGTTTGGATGCTCGATTACGTCTTTATATTAGTCTCTGCGTGATTCGTATGTATGGATATCGCACTGAGAGAAAAGATATTGTTTGATATTTGTGTGACTATAATTACATGGTAAAATAATTATTATTACCTATGCTTCATTTTTATAGCTATTACTATTGTAATGTTAATAATAATCATATTTATACAAAAAAATATGTATAATTGGCACCGAAAATATAATTAACTACAATATATTTTATATATAATATTATAGTAACTAAAATATTTCACTATAAATTATAAGTAAATTATAGTAACTGCAACCATTTTTTCTCTCAGTGCACCTTTATCATTATGAGAGCGTCCGTTCATTTGTAGTTTCTAAACTACGGGGTATGTAACGTCCATTTATGCTCCATCGTTTACCAAATCATATTGTTTACCAATCTGGTCGTTCTTCTATTCGTTCAAACCTGACATGCTCGAAGTCCCTATTTCGCGCTATTAGTGCTCGTGAGAAAATTCATCCCAGTCGAATATGTAAATCTATTTTATATATATACTATATTGCTATGTACTTTTTCTCTCTCTCATTATCGTTATGTAAGGTCTGTATAATCGCTAAGGTCATATGCAAAGTGGCACCAATGTCATTTGTAATCGAGGAGTTCGCATGAAAATGAGAAACCGCACAAAAGATACGAAGTATATTAATTATATTAAATATTGTTTCTTATATTCTCAAATTTAAAGTTCTTATCTTTCCAGATTGCGTCTTCCTCATGCTTTCTAATGTGTCCTTTAAAAGTGTTCGTAAAGTCTTGAACTCGTTTAAAAATTATTCGATTATTCTGTTCTTTTCAACTGAACTTGTAGTGTCCATTTATTCTCCTTTTCTCTCCAACGTATAGAGAACAATAGGAAAGATAACGTTGCAAGAAGTTCAACTGAAAAGAACAGACCAATACCTTCTTTTTTTTCACCGTAAATTTTGCAATTGTATCGAATTAATGCTCATATAGTTTGACGATCAAAAAAAAGACGCGTGAGATACGCCTGAAAGTAAAAGTTTCGTACGATTATCGATAAATTTGAGTCAACGCACGTACGGCGCAAAGATTGCAAGAGTTCTGATTTAAAGTCAATCTTTAGGCTTCGTCTTTCTTACGAGACTTGTCGAAAGCGCAGACGAGTCGTTTTTCCTGTCAGCGTTACGATACCAGAGTCGATTTTATCGAACAGATTTCTCCTTGACAGTTAATAATCAGATTTCGGAATGCCATCAGATATCGACAATGATTTTCACGTCAAAGAAATACAGGATATGGTCAACGTGATACAGAGGATGATCAAGGATGGTAAGCGAATAAATATCAAGAGTATGCGTGTTTACCGACGTGCGACATCGTGAGGAAAGGTACAAGAAAAATATATCTGCGTCTCGAAATTTTTTAGAAAAAAGAAGGAAGAAAGATTCAATCTCGATACAATTCGGTACATGTAATTCTGAAGATTGCCGTAATTTAGATTAACTTTAATCTCGATTTAATTTACTTTTTATCTTGTTCTAATTCTCTCTCTCTCTCTCTCTCTTTCTTAGAAAAAGATGAAGATAAGTTGAACTAAGATTAAAGTTAATCTATATTGATAGAAACGGGCATTAGAATCTTATCAATGTTTTGAAACGGATAGGCGGGAAAGGGTCCTCATACTTGGTCCTTACAATGTTTGGACTCGGCAGCTTTGAGTTATCTTTTTTCTCTTCTTTCTCTCTCTCTCTCTCTCTTTTTCGTGAGAGATAAGAACTACGTGCACGAATTATGTGCGCGTGTACATATACGCATGGTGTAATATTTCTGTACGCCCATTTCTCCAAATAATGTGCAGTGTGTTTACGCCCGATGGTGATGGCCTTGGAGGTCACGATTGCGCCGCTGATTAAGTCCCTCTCATCGAAGAGTTATTCTCCTTTTAAGAGTGCACTTCGGAGACGTGTTCTCCGATCTCTGACAGACAGTATCGCGCATTTTCCCGATATTTCACACTCTCAACGCATGGAACAGAGTTCTTTCAAATTTCGGGATTTCGCCGTTTTTGATTGATCATTCATTCTTCTAGAAGCGCGCGCGCGAGAGAGAGAGAGAGAGAGAGAGAGAGACAGACAGACATACCATACATCCTCTCTTTCTCAGTAGCAAGCGAGCGCAGATCAAGCCACGCAACGTTCTAAGCAGCGCACGATGGTTCTTATCACAGTGACACTCAACTTGCAAAAAGCTACGTTGCTAATACACATACGCGCGTTAATGCGTAAATACTATCGCGATAATACGTACGTGAGAAAAAAGAAGATGAGTGGCGCTTCTGACATCGCGCTTGATCTTTCAATCTGCCCTATTGGCGCTTAATAGTAACGATAATAATTAGAGCTACATTATAATTCAACTGCTTCTATAACACAATCGAATTTTTAGTTTTTTTTATAATAAATTCATTTATGTTAAATTCAAAAGCTCCTGTACAATCGGAGCTTCAATTTTTTTTAACAATCATCGCGAATTCCTTCTATAAAAATTTAATACTAATACTGGCCAATTAATCACTTATTTTCAGTATTAAAAATACTGTTAGTATACTTTTGATACTCAAAATAAAGGATTAATTGTCCAACACTAACATTAAATTTCTATAAAGGCATCATCAGATTAGAGATTAAGATTAAGATTGGATTGGAATTTAACCAATCAAAGCAAATTTTACTAAACTTAAGATTGAGCTTCTTTCTTCTAATTGGTTAAATTCCAATTTAATCTCATTGTCAATCTCTAGTCTGATCAGCCTTAAGAGTTGTTGCATGATAATTTAAAATAATACCTGCAAAATGTGACTCTTAGTTCTGGGGAATTTACAAAAAGAAAAATATTCATTTAGGAAATTTTTGGATACGTAGATAAATTTCATTTTAGAAGAATATCTTAGGTTTTTGGCGAACGATATTCATGTTCATTTTTCTACTACCAATTTAATTAAATTAACTTTAAATCTCGGTTTAATTTATCTTTATTTTTTTCTAATCCTTGGAATTAAAAAAGGATAAAAAAGTAAGTTAAACCGAGAGATTAAAAAGTTAATCTAATTAAAAAATTAATACCAGTACAAAAGAACGTCAGTCTTCCTTGCCGTAATCTTTCGATTCTCGTTCGACATTTCCGAAAATTTCAGAAAATACGAAGCCACTCTCGAAGTAAACGAGGAAACGGCGATCGATTCTACATGCATTCCGCAAAAACGGATTTTTACTTGTCGACGGCGCACATTTCGCCGAGGCCGCGAATCAAATGATCACTACTTCGTGCAGGTATGAGAAATCGGAGACTAACTGGCAGATATAAGGTTACGAAGAGGAAATGCATAAGCGCAAGTTTAGAAGACATTACGCATTGTCGCCGGACTAAGACAGTCCTGATCATTTTTTTCCCTCGTATAATTTTGATCTTCCTTAAGTGACGTCTACAACGAGATTTTAAGGCGTAAAACTTATGGGGATCCTAAAGTAGTCATGCATAGTGTAAGTAGGATTTAAGACTCGTCTACATAGAAGTCGTATGACGGTCGTGGAATCTTAAGTCGTAGGAAACTAACCAATTATTAATCAAACATAAGGAGAATACTCGACTAGGAATTGCTCAGTTTCCTACAATTTGAGACCCTACGACCGTTTACAACTTCTATACAGACGAACCTTTACACATAGACGTCATAGACGATTTCATGTCATTGACGCATCACTATATACTATTACATCAATATCTCACTCACGCATGCCACACCTACACATAAATTTTCGTATAACGTATTTAATTAGACATTCCTAACGTTTTAATTGGACGGTCCAAGTCTAAAGCCTTGTGTCCACGATGCTAGAAATCAGTCCAAGACTCTCGGATGAAGAAAGAATTGACCAATCGCATTGGTCATGTGATCAAAGTGTTGAAATGTGATTTTGAGAAAGAATTTGTTAATTCTTTCTCTGTCTGAAATCTTGGATCGATTTCTAGCATCGTGGATACAAAGCTTAAGAACTCCACGTTGTTTCTTCGTGCAAACTATATACTCTCTCTCTCTCTCTCTCTCTCTCTCTCTCTCTCTCTCTCTATACTCTACTCTGTGGACTACTATTTCACAAGTACAGATTGCACAGCTTTTATACGAAACAAATGTCACGATGTGACAGCTCAGAGCGCCATGTCGTATTAAGAAATGGTAAAGATCTCAATTTAGAAATTTTTTGGCGTTCTCAAAACTCCATCTCACAGCCACATGTTACATAATGTGTATACTTTAATCCTGAAAAGGATTTTCGAATTTGTAAAAAAGAGAAAAAAGTAATTGTACAAAAATTATATGGTTTAGGCCTGATTGCCAACGTTATTTTGACTTTAAGCGAAGTTTAAAAATCTCTTTCTTTTTTCAAAGCCGATAGAGAGACAGAAAGGGAGAGAGTTTTAAGGAGATTGTAAAGCAAATGCAATATGTTAAGAATTACTTGAAAAAAATTACAGATTATTTTAAATTGCATTAAAAAAATTTAGAGACAGTTGACCATATGGATCAAAAGTTATTACACACACAATAAAAAAAAAGTAATATTTTTTTAATTTGTACTCTAATATATGAAAATGTATTATAAAATAATGATAAAAATCTCAATTTTTTTATATAAGTACTTTATGAATTCAAAAATATTTATGTAAAGTTACATTGAGATGCAGACACTAATTGTTCAGTAAATAAACAAAATATTTATTTATGTGACAATCTTGCGTTTCGCGGGTTTTCTCCGTGTTTAATGCCAACGTTTCGTGAACCTTGCAATTCACTTCATCAGGGCGAGGCATTCCAAGAATGGATCTAAACACGGAGAAAACCCGCGAAACGCAAGATTGTCACATAGATAACACCCGTGAAAGCCTCAAGAATATTATTAAAATATTTATTTGTTGTAAACTAATTGGTGAATCTCAATGAAACTTTGCATAAGTCATTTTTAGCATTTAAAATATTTATATAAAAAAAATTCAGATTTTTGTTATTTAAAAAATTTTTGTTTATAACAAAAAAACTAATATTAAATAAAATAAATAATATATAAAAATGTGTTGCTCAATAAAAACAGAATGTTATGAACTTTCACAACTTTCACATGTACCATATGTACCATAGTTTGTTTAAAGCGTAATATTAATATATGTATTTTATGCCCTTACAACCTTCTTAAACCACGCCTAAAATTAAAGTAACGTTGATGCAATCGAGCTTCGGTCGGTAATACAGGCGACTTTAGGATCCCCTTAAGCTTTAAGCTCTACGCCGTAAGCAATTGACTAGTTATTATTGATTATTCTCCTCACATTCGGTTGTGCGATTGGTCAATTTCTTACAACTTAAAGCTTAAGATTTACGCTTTAAAATTGTAGACGTCGCTTTAGGTAGAACGATACCAGTTGTGACACTTTTCAAATTATTATAAATCTTCACACGATTATGATAGAATAATAAGAATTACTTTAAGGCCCTACGCACAATAGAAGGAACAAGGAATTAGGAATAAAGATTAAACGATTTCAACCTATCAAAAACCGTGTATAATTCCGATGTATCCGATTTCTGATAGGTTAAAATCGTTTATTCTTTATTCTTTCCTTATTCCTTCTATTGTGCGCAGGACTTAACGTTGTTCATCTGGCTCAATAATAAAGTACTTATAAATCCTTAATATATTTCGAATATAAGAAAATAAATTTTGTTGATTACAAAGAGGCAAATGGCGATCATATAATGTACCCCATCCATGGGGCAAGTTGAACATTCTCAAAGGATAATTTGAGCCACGAAGATAATCGTTTAATAAGGTTGTATATTATTAAAAACATGAAAATATTAATGTGTATATTAATACAATTTTTATTAGTTTTCGTCTCAAGTACAATAATTTGTAATATGTATACTTTCTCTTTAAATGTTTTAATTAACAAAATTAGAAAAACTTAATTATTTGTAATAATAATTAAACATAAAATATATGTCGTTAACATTTTTTTTAATCGTTAATATAGAATAAAAATTATTGATAAATACCGATTTTATTTAAGCAGGATGACAATGAGTTGATAAGATTAATTGTGAGATACTTGGTCCAACAACCTTCATATGATCGGTGCTGAAATTTTTTTTTATAACTGAAAAACCGTAAATAAAATAGCAACTTGAACATTAAAATACACTAATAACTTATATTTAAAAAACACTGGTTTTTATTAATCGCTCCAATTATCACGTGGACCATAAAGAATATTCACCTAATAATTTTACTTTTGATGCATAAAAACGAAAAAGCGCACGTGTTTCAATGTTGACAACCGGACACAGATTGTTGTATTAAGCGCAATAATCTGTGTCTTTGTGTTATCTTACGCAAGCATAGACATCTTCATATATGTATATTTTAGTAATTTAGATATTTGCATTTGCTCAACTTGCCCCGCTCTATACTCTATACGCGAAATTCCCTGACAAAAATAAGAAGTTTCATGAATATTTTTTGGGCGTTTAAATGAACGTTTGCAGGAGTTTGTTGAGAGTAGAAACGCTCAGTTCGTAAAGCGGAAATTGCAACGCTGCAACGTTTGGAAAACGGAGTTGAGAAAAGCGTTTTTTGGGCATCTCCAAGTTTGACAGTGAATTCTCTGCACGAAGGTGCAGTCAACGCTCACACCGCATGGGGAGCTCATAAAATTTTTGTATTGTAGCTTCATTTAAGCTTCAAAAAGAATTCCCCGGGAACTCCCCGGGATGTCCGCTTTTAAGAGTTCCTAGGAGCTTCATTTTGGTTCGCAGGGAGCTCTTTTTAAGCTCCCCAAGAACTCGTCAAAATGAACTCTCTCCCAGTCTCAACACAAACTGAAAGTATTACATAACGTCAATGTTATAATTTCGTACTCTACAATATAAATGTATAATATAACACATGGTGACATTATGTTACTTTCAATTTGTGTCCGATTGGGCTGAGAGAGCTTATTTAGTCGAATTTTATAAGCTTCCTGGAAGCTTAGCATTATAAACTCCCTGGAGGTTCGTTTTGTCGAATTTGATAAGCTCCCCGAGAGCTCAGTAAAATGAACTCTCTGAGAACTTAATCGGAGCTTTGTATTGGGGGGTGAGCATTACAGAAATTTCATGAAATGATATACGTACATTGTATTTTATAAGCGTTCTGAAAGTGTTTAAAACTCAATGGTATTGTATAAGCGTTCTTATAAAGTTTAAAAGCGTATAAACTCTCAAAAAATCGTCATTGAACGGTTATCAACGCTTTATAAAGCTTTCTTATTTTCGTCAGGGTTGTGGCCCACAAATTATTAACAATAAGCTGTGTAATCATATTAGCGATTGTCGTTGACGATTACTTTTCAACTGTAGTTAAAGCAAAGCAATCGGTGATTGATTTGCTGTGATTGATTGAAAAGTAACTGTTAATCGCTAATCATTGGTATATATAATCGCACAATCGCTGGTGTACGTGCGATTACGGCTTTACGGTGTGAGACGCAGAGCGTAATATTTTGAAGTGTTAAGAAAGATGGAACACTGGGTCCTCTTGTGATCAAGAGCTTTATTCAGACGTTACAACAATGCGCTGAGTCGAAGATTTATTCACTACGAGTCTGACAAGAACTGAACTAGTACTGATTGTGAAAAGTGTTACGTGTTTCGTTAACAATTATTTAAAAAATGTTTATCTGTTAAAATTTAACGACAACGTTCCCCTCCCAATCATAATTATTTTATCATGCAATTATAATCAGTGAATCAGTGATTATAATTGCATGATAAAATAATTATGATTGGGGGGGGTGGGGAACGTTGTCGTTAAATTTTAACAGATAAACATTTTTTAAATAATTGTTAACGAAACACATAAACAATATCATATATATTATATTATATACACATTATATACATATTATATTGCACCTAAAAGAGGGACCATATCCTTAATTTGGGACAAAATTTGGGACGCGTTGCAAAGTGTTAAAATATGGGATCGTTCTTACCTTTAAATTGAGATGGTTGATCACTAATAAAAATAAGTATGAGAATTTTTTTACTAGCTAAGTTATTACAGACTATCCAGGAAGTGTCACGAGAAATATACGAGGATATACGAGAATCCTCGAGAACATGTATAATCTGGAGATTTCATGACATATTCCACGCCAGTGAGGCGCGTTGTGTTAGCTATAGTTTCTTTCCTTGTTTTTCACACGTGTGTCACACTCAACAATTTTACGTCCAATGGGCGATGTAGTGTAGAACGAGAAGAGAAGGATGAAAAGAAAGGAAAAGAGAGTACAGAAAGTGCAGCTATAGGGCTGCGTTCGGAAACGTCGCCCGAGTGCCGCCGTGTATTGTTTTATCCTTGTTGTTCACCCAATGTTAAATAAAGATAAGATGATAGACGAGGGCACTCGGGTGATGTTTCCGAACGCAGCCTAAGCGAATCGAACACGCGCGTGCCTACGCTGTGAATCGTGAGCGGCTGTGAGCGGCTGTGAGTGCTGTGAGTGCTGTGAGTGTTGTTAAGTAAGTGTAGCTGCAGCCGGTAGTTCGTAGTTTACGCCGATGGTGTATGAACCGCCGATGGTTTACAAATGTAGTATGCAAGTATGCACGCCTTGTCGGCTTTGTGATGTTTACGCGTCACGTATTATACACATCCCATGCTTTTCCATAGTAAACGTGCCTCGCTCAACGTAAGTACGTTCCCAATTTTAACGATTCGACGAGTATTCGTACTGTTCGTCGAAGTAAGTAAGGCTCTGCCCGAAAGATCGCCTCTTCGCAAATGGTCTCGACTCTGAATCGATCGACGAGAAATGCTTTATCGATTTCTGAGGTTAATAGAAGTTCACAGAACTTCCGTGCGCGCGCGTGTGCGCTCCTTACGTCTGTGTTTGTCGCGATTGTTCTTTCTTTTTTCCTTTTCTCTCCCAGTTCCCGAGTTTATTCGTTTTACATTTAGACACATGGGTGAAAGAGACATTTTACTCACATCTGTCACATCACTTTAGCGTGCCTAGTCAACGGATATTTAATTTTTAATTAATGCTAAACACAAACTGACAGAGAGATATATTAATGTTATCCTTTCACACTCGACAATATAAATAATATATGTAACATATATACAGGGTAGCCCATGTATTATCTCTGAAAGTGTGTGTCGAATGATTAATATGTTCAGACAAACGTTTTATGACTTTGAGGAGAGCGTAAGATGGTACCACGGTTCGTTTGACCTTGGGTAGCTTTGTCAAAGTGAGAGCAAGGCTACTTTGAATTTTTTAAACGGAACCCCCCATTTTTTATTACATTTTCTTGTAGCTTACCTCGGGAGCTTTTCAAAACACTATAATAAAATATTTTTTCATCAAGTATTTTTCGAGTTATGAGGCTCGAAAGTTACAGTACCGCCGGCATTAGCATTATAAATTTTATTATGTTATGTGTTTTGAAAAGCTCCCGAGGTAAGCTACAAGAAAATGTAATAAAAAATGGGGGGTTCCATTTAAAAAATTCAAAGTGGCCTTGCTCTCACTTTGACAACGCTATCCAAGGTCAAACAAATGGTACCATCTTATGCTCTTCTCAAAGTCATAAAACGTTTGTCTGTAAACATCTTGTAAACATATTAGTCATTTGAGACACACATTCAGAGATAATAGCTTGTAACACTTTACATGGGCCACCCTGTGTATTATATGTAACAGTTACGTTGTTGAGTAGGAAAATATAATAGGTATTGATGTAGTATTACTGTTTGTGTTCAGCGAAATATACATATATTAAATTATTGTAATATGAATAATGTGTAATTATACTTGTTGACTTTCAGGTCACATTTTCAAAAATCCAGAAGTAGTTAACATTATCCTAGAACCTGGTATATGGTAAGTTTATAAGTTCTATATACAGTTTGTATGTTTATTTGTCCGAATAATGAAACAGAAACTTGTCTTCAGCTCTAAGGATGAGGAGGTGGACAATGATTGCGTAGTAAGGGCGCGCGGTCTTCCTTGGCAATCTTCGGATCAAGACATTGCCAAGTTTTTTCGTGGGCTAAATGTCGCAAAGTAAGTGGTCCCCATGAGATACATAAAGTAAAACCAAATATACGACTAACAGGAGTTTCGAGTAAAATAAATTAATTTGTCCTCCTCTAACTATCTTTTGGTATTTATGCACAAGCCACGGTGGATCTGTGTGAAGCAGGTAACTGAGATAGCCGTACATAATTTCTATAACGCACTTAGATGCACAGGATCTGTCATTCTAGTTTCTTCTCTGTGACATAACACATAAGTGCATTATATATATATATATATATATATATAATTTTTTTTCTTCAACATATATATGTGTATATCTCCGAGGAAACTTTCCTGCTCGCTTATTAGCTGTTGTATATATAATAGTGACGAGCATTATATTTGGAATCGTGGATCTTGTACGCTATATGAATTTAACTGCAATTCTGAACATTAGATTTCTTGTAGAGTGTCTTTAACTCTCCGTCGGCTAAGTTGGACTTCAAAGACAGAGTCAATTTTTTGATTGTGAAGTCTGATAGATAAATTTAGATCTGTAAAAAATAAGTAAAATGTAATCTGACTTCTATGATAGTAAAAATTTGTTAAAGCTTTTACCAGTATGCAACAATTTTTTCAGATTTTTGTACAGTTCGAAATAGAATAAAAATCTGTAGCTCAAAAACAAATTGCTGCAAGACTTTTGAACTATGTGTGCAAAATTCCACATTGCCGATGGAGAATTAATAATCGTTATGTCTACGAATTACAAATAGAAGAGCCGGTCGCTGTTTGACGATATACGCTAACAATGATGTAATAACTTTTTTAGGGGTGGTGTAGCTCTTTGTTTAAGTCCTATGGGAAGGCGTAACGGCGAGGCATTGGTACGGTTTATTAATAAAGAACACAGAGACATGGCGCTGAAGCGGCATAAACATCACATGGGTACACGATACATAGAGGTTTACAAGGCCTCCGGAGAGGATTTTATTGGCGTTGCTGGTGGTACAAGCGGGGAGGCACACGCTTTTCTGTCACGCGGGGCTCAAGTCATCGTTAGAATGAGGGGCTTGCCGTATGATTGTGTTGCTAAACAAGTGGTACATAATCATTTAAGGATCTAAAATTCTACTTGCGTATACGATAACCAGCTTTTCGATTATATATTGTCCATCGTTTTGCTATTGTATACACTATCAGTAATGTTCTCTTAGCTGGAATTTTTTCAATCTGGACAAAAACCATGCCAAGTGTTGGATGGTGAGGATGGCGTGCTATTCGTAAAGAAACCAGACGGTAGAGCAACAGGTGACGCCTTCGTATTATTTGCGAAGGAAGAGGATGCGGTGAAAGCCTTGAGCAAGCACAGAGACTGTATCGGCAGCCGTTATATAGAACTTTTTCGAAGTACAACCGCGGAAGTGCAACAGGTAAATTTGAGCGTGAAGCTTATAACAGTGAAGAAACGTACGTTTTTATTCAATTTTGTTGTTGTTATACATAGGTCCTAAATAGGGCGACAGATCCGAAACAAGTAATACTACCACCACCACCTATCGCGCAACTTCCACCCTTACTTCCTCAACATATCATTACGTCCGGTACGCGCAAAGATTGTGTGAGACTTCGTGGTTTGCCGTACGAAGCACTCGTCGAACACATTTTGGAGTTTATGGGCGAACATTCTAAAAATATTGTCTATCAGGGTGTTCATATGGTTTACAATGCTCAGGTAGATATCGATTAAACATACAGGAGGCGCAAGAAATGTCATTAAATTATAAGAAATACCATTTACTTATTTAATTTTTAGATTTTGATAATCAATTCTATATCAATTATGTTAAAAATAAATGTGTTATGTTTAAACCAGATGGTATGGACCAGATGGTTTCGTGCAACATTTTATTTCTACGCAGATAATTATTTACATTTCTTTTTTTCAAAATAAGTAAAAAACGTAAGTCGATACTGGATGGTAGTGTGTAAAACTTGTGTGTATTATTAACAATAGTTGTCAATTACAGACAATAGTTTCAATCACAATTTCGTCTTTTTTTTCTAATCTTTAATTCTGGAATCACCAGGGTCAACCGTCTGGCGAGGCATTTATTCAAATGGACAGTGAGGCATCGGCATACGCGTGCGCGACGCAGCGGCATCATCGATACATGATCTACGGCAAGAAGCAGCGATACATCGAAGTGTTCCAGTGCAGCGGCGATGACATGAATCTGGTATTGACAGGTGCGGTAACACCGCCGTCGACCAAGGCACTACTATCACCCGGTACGTTGACCACACAGTCCCCCGCGACCTTGACACATCCGCCTGCGCCAACACCGGTGCCGGTACCGGTACCGACCGCGCAGCCGCCGCCGCCTCCATCACCCCTGTGGGACATTCACGCTCTGGTACAGGCCCAAGCCGCTCAGGCCGTTCAGGCGCAGGCTCAGGTGGCGCAAGCGCAGGCTGCCCAGGCGCAGGCCATCAGGAATCAAGACCTATGGTTGATGGC